CCCTCCCCTCCCGCGCTAGCCTAAGGGCCACCTTAGCAAAGCGCATCCCAGGCTGCATAGCCGCACTACCCTACCCAACCATACCACACATAAACATGACACTACCCCCGGGGTTTACACAGACGAGCCGGCGAAGCAAGAAGAGCGCCAGAAGAAAGGGCCCTAGCCGGCGGGGCCCAGCCAGGACAAAAGGAGGTCCCACAAAGCGCCTACACCGGCCGCATTTGCGGTCGGGGTAGACGACGGATGGGGCCCACCTACGAAGGCTGTCCAGGCCTACACGAGATGAGGCAGGATAAAGAGGGATAATCCCCCTCGTTCCCAAATCATTGAGGCCAATTTCTAGTCATGGAATAATGGCGCGGCGCGCTCTCACGTAACGGCCGATGAACCATGGGGACTTTCCGACCCTGTAGAATTGTAACTTGTTCTAGGGTCAAGCCGTTAATCACAGATTCTCTAGATGAAGATAACACTTTCGTATGCTATTTTTCATTTAGACGCTTCTTTTTATAAAGTAGAGGGTGTCAAAACTACAATAAAAAAAGGATTTTTATTAACGTCGTTGTTGTTTACACCATTTATATAATTTAGGCAAAAAAAAAAAACAGAGGAGAGTCGTGTAGTTTCCATTGCTCCCTTTTCCCATCATTTACCCGCGCACATTTACGATTTAAAGTTATTAGATTTGTTCCTAGAGCAATCCGAAACAGTTTCAAACAGTTAGACGCATGCGCATTACGATATATGCTTACATAAGGTTCAAAATTCCTCGTTTCGAATTAAATGCGATTGCATCTGATTGTAGGAATCTTATTCTAATGCACCAAGTAGGAACCAAGCTATTATTCCTTCAATCTGTAATTCTATCAAAATTTTGATTTACCATTTTTTTTTTCGTTTTAGACTACGTTTAGGACTTAGCATTCTAAAAGAAAATGGTGTTTTGAGTGATTTTAATTTTGACAAGAGTTTAGTAACGTTCTCCTAATTTACTTTAGTTTAATTTGAGGCATATGAATAACTTAAAGTTCAGTAGCTTTTGACAAGAGTTTAGTTACATTTTCCTAATTTACTTTAGTTTAATTTGAGGCATATGAATAACTTAAAAGTTCAGTTAGCTTCATTCCACTTTAAAACTTAAGAAGAAAACCTGACGAACATGATAAATTTATTATACATATTAAAAATTACTCCAGATATGTGCATGCAAATGAAAACACAAATTAGAAAAAAGTAACAAAAATTAAACATTGTAATAATACATTACCTTAGGCTTTCTCGTACCATTTTTTTTTAGAAACCTACTGTTTTAGAGTTAAGGATAAGAAAATAGTAGAGAATTTTATAAAAATTCTTATTGCAATATTAATTTGATTAAGATGTTATGCCGAAATATATCAGAATTGACACCATCCAGTGACATCTTTCTCAAGCTTAGTTAATCTCCTAAGAGAGAGAAGATTTTAGATAGTTTAAATAATTATAATATTTCGTGAATCAAACTACATCAAAATTTTGCAAGAGGGAAAAATAAAATAATATTTTTGATCAAAAACATAAGATAAAGTTAATAAACATATTTTTATTGCAATTTTGGCATAAGAAGTCTTATTATTTTCACCCCAAGAATCTGTGTATAAATATTGTTAAATAAAATTAATGAAGGCTTCTAAACATTAAAAAACTGAATTTGATGACCCACAATCCAATTTTTTAATACAATAAAATGATAACCATCAAAAGTCTATACATTTATTAGAAACAATTATTTTGACAATGTTTAAATAACATTTGGATAAATTTTTGAATTCTTTGGATAAATAATAAATAAACTTAACTGAAATGCTGATAGGACACATCCTAGAAAGTTGGGTATCTGAAAATTTATATCGGATTAGAATGAAGGTACATCAATAATTTATTACATTATACTCTTTTCCAACAAATAAACCTAATTAACAGCATGAATAAAACTTTCTGGTAAATTTCTGTATGAAAATATATCTAAGTACTTACTTGTATAAATTTATCTCCTAATACAATACCATATATGACCCACTGTAGAGATACTATGAATGTTGCAATTATAAGATGATATGGCAAACTATCAGTACTTTTTACTTTTATGACATGTAATAATGATGCTAAAGGGGCTGCAAAAAATAATATTGTTACGATACAACACACTAAACCCAAATTAGATTTAGCAGTGTCTACGTCTTCTATACGATGTATGTATAGTAATGTTACTATAAGAAACAAAAAACTTCCTAGGAACTGGCGAATAATAGAAGTCTAAAAAAAAGCAATTCTTAGTATAAAATCTCTCTTGAAAGATTTATTACCTTTTTAATACTGTATAAATAAAATGTAACAACATATGCAAAAAATAATGTAGCTCCTACAGTATTTACTAATATTAATGACCTGTCTTGTATTAAAAATCCATATCTTAACCATAAACTTGTTGAAAGACAGCCACTAACAAATGGAAACGAAGACATATCACCAGTACTTTTATTTTGTACGATTTTTTGACAAACCAGTCTGCAATTACAGGTATTTGAGAACAGTATGGGTACGTATTAATAAATAAAACTCACGTTCCAGTCAGAAACTGAAGTATCGTACAAATTGAGGCTGTAGTGGCAAGAATATTTTTGAAATCAGCGTCGTTCATGTTTTTCTTTGAAATACACCAATAATGAACTGTAAAATACAAATATACTATTTATATTGCCCACAAATCCATCCTGTTGTATTTAATCTTTATATTTTTTTAACTAAATGTTTTCCACCTGTCAAACTTGCCAAATATACACAAAACATTCTCATTCTCAAAATTAGAAAGAGAAAATAGATGTTGTTACTAATGTCACTATTCAGATAAGTGTAGTGGTCTATGAGCTTAGAACTATGAAGGGTACAGATAAAGACTCTCTCTTGGAGTCATTCCACAAGCGCCATTATTCCATGTCTAGAAATTGGTCTCAATGATTTGGGATCGAGGGGGATTATCCCTCTTTATCCTGCCTCATCTCGTGTAGGCCTGGACAGCCTTCGTAGGTGGGCCCCATCCGTCGTCTACCCCGACCGCAAATGCGGCCGGTGTAGGCGCTTTGTGGGACCTCCTTTTGTCCTGGCTGGGCCCCGCCGGCTAGGGCCCTTTCTTCTGGCGCTCTTCTTGCTTCGCCGGCTCGTCTGTGTAAACCCCGGGGGTAGTGTCATGTTTATGTGTGGTATGGTTGGGTAGGGTAGTGCGGCTATGCAGCCTGGGATGCGCTTTGCTAAG